TGTTAGCTGATTTAAGAGGTAGAAAAGGTATTTCAGGAGCTAAGTCTTTACAATTTTTATGTGAAAGTAGTAGTTTGAATAAGAGTTTTAAAAAAAATATTTTAACAAGATTAGTCCATGATTTAACAGATAGAATTCAATTAGCAAAATTAGATTTGAGGTCAGCAGTTTACCAATCAAATATTTACGGTTATTATTTGGCATTAAATTTAATTTTTGAAAATTTGAAAATTGATGATGAAGATTTTTATTCGAATTTGATTAATATTGTTGTGTTGTCAATTTTTGACATATGGACCTTGGCTAAGCCTATATTATCTCACGATTCTCCCGAAGGAAATTTACCAAAAGAACTTCAAGATCAAGAAGAAGATCTTAGTTGCGAATTAGAACTGAAATATGGACCGGCTACTCAAGTGGTATTAAGTTATTCTTGGAGAGCAGTAAAAGAATCTAGTGCATTGTTGTCAACTTTCTTATCTAGAATTGATGATGACAGAATTCTGTTTAGTACAGAAGATTACGATTTAATTCGTATTGGAGATTTGATCATTCAACAATTGTCAACTATAAGACATCCAGGTGCCTTTTCATCAGTTTATCCAACTTTTCTTTCATGCTGTGAAAGATGTTTCAATAAGAAAAGCGATCTACCATCTATTTGGTTACGGAAAAACTTATCTTTGATTGAAGATCAAAATCATTTAATAACCAGAAGATCAGCTGGATTGCCTTTTTTGATTACAGGTATTTTGACTGCAGAATTCAAATATAACAAAAAACTTAAAAATAAAAATAAAAAACCAATTGAAAAAAAACTTTCTGATAATGATTTAATTCTTTTCAAATTCACATTTGAAGAATTGATTAGGATTGGTAGTTTACCATTTGAAGACGGTAATGGCGAGGAAAAATTAGCATTACCGCAAGTTCATGCATTTAACTGTATACGGGCATTAATTGTAGAGTCACAACTTTCGGAGTTATCCAATTTTTACATTGATAAATCTTTAGACTTATGTTTAGCAAAGTTTTCTTCGAGGACCTGGTCAATTAGAAATGTTTCTGTTATGCTTTTTACTGCTATACAGAATCGGTTATTTGGAACTAAAAAAATTGATAAAAATTATTTGTGTACTATCAGTTCAAGGTTATTTTTCTCTAGATATAAAAACCTTGCAAAAATTTTATTGAAAAATTTCCAAAATTCATTGCTGATTTCACAAAATGAAGATATGGAAAGTATTTTTCCAATATTGTCGCTATTGTCAAGATTACATTCTACTAGAGGTTTTAACCCTATTTTAGAATTTGAACCATTATTAATTGAATGTTTAGGCAACAAGCATTGGAAAGTAAGAGAAATGGCTGCAAGAGCTTTACCTTCAGTTATAAATGATGATGAGTTTTATGAAGAATGTTGTTCATTACTTCAAAAAGCTGACAACAGTAACAAGAATATGATTCATGGTTTGCTTTTAGCGATCAAAGAATTATTAATCAGATCTGGATTGAAAAATACAAGCGAGTCCTTTATTATTCCATCAAAAGTGACTGAAATGTTTCTTTTGAGATTGGACAGTTTATTATTTGAAAATAATTGTTACGCTTCTTGTATCACCTATGTTCAAATTTTGGATTTCATAGTTTCCAAAAATTTTGATTATTCAAATTTTCCAGAAGAGATATTGAATAAATTGGGCAATTATTTTTTAAAACACAATATATTAAATCATTTAGATGGTTCAAAGCAATTGTTGCTTTCAAGGTTATCCACACTCGTATTAAAAGTTTATGGCAAGAACAATGATTTAGAAAATTTAGGTGACTTATTACAAGTTTGTTTATTGTCAGAATTTTATGAATGTCAACTTTCTGCTATAACGTATACATCACAGAATATTTCAATATTATCATCGACTATTAAGCTCGATATAATTGACACTTTATGGTTTATTTTGTCGAACCTGAAGTTTTGGTCCCACGTTAAAGCAGCAAGTTTAAGACTCTTGAAAGATTTATTGATCAATAGTGATAACGCCTATGAGTATGATAATGATCATTTATTGGAAAGAACAAAATTATTACTTGAATTTATGGACGAAGAATTGAATAGCGAAGATGTTAGATCTACAAGTCTAGCAGCTTTAGGTGCATTTGTCGCTAGATTAAACGATTCTTATTACTTTGAGACGTGGTTGCAGCTTTGTGAAATTCATTCTAGCGATGATAAGCCATTCAATGTTAGATATTCTGCTATGACTTCTCTTATATCATATTTACAAACAAACAATAACAGGAAAGCTAATATTAATTTCGTGAAAGTGTTACTTAAATTGTATTTGTTTTTATTTGATGATGACGATGAGTTGAGAGAGCATGCATCTGAATTCATATCACGTTCTATAATGGACATTAAGTTCCATTTAGTACCGATTGAAATTCAAAATAGGTTTACTGAATTTTTAATTCATAACTATAGTATTTCTTTGATATATGATATAATATTGAATGACTATTACATCAAGCGTTTAAATTATAATATTGAAGATATCGTCAAGTGTGATCAAGATAATTTCTTGTTCAGCTTCGAGAAGCAAAATTTTTACAGAAACGTTATAGATCAGCATCGAATCTATATTGAATTATTGGTATTAGTAGCATCAGAATTCGATAGCTCTACTATTGAAAAACTATCAACTCAAATAAGGGAAAATGTTGATAACCTTTTCAAAATAATCAATTTGTTTGAAAACGATAATTACATGGGATGGCTAAAAGAAGAGGAAAATTTCAATGTTTTCTATTGCATTCTATTTGATATTAAATTCATTAAGGAATTGATCAAAGATCAAAGAAAATTTGACCTGTTATTTGGCGAAAGCTTAAACAAACTTAACAGAATTTCCATTAGAAATAATTTACATCAGTTATGTAAAGAACAAATTGTTAATTCACAGAATTAAATGTACATATTTTATTAACTAGATTTTTATAGATATTAATAACTAATAGAAGAAACAATTTAAATCGAATAAACGTCGTCGAATAACGTCGTCGTAGGACAGCATCGTTGTCGGATAACATCTTTATTCTCATTTTCATCTTCACCTGGTTTAAAAAAGCCACAGTTGTCGTTAATCTCTTGCGCACTACTGGGTTCCCCGAAATTTGTACATTTAGCCATAACTCAAGTTTTAAAAATTGATATTGAAAAGATGAAGAATTCGAATTAGAAGAAATTGGAATCAAGTGAAGGAAGTAGTCATGTCGTTTTCTGTAAGTTGTAAATTCCAAATGATGATGGAAATTATTAAAATTTTTGAGAATATTTTCTTTTTTTATTAACATTTAATACCGTTTAACTTTTTAGAGATTGGTGAGATTTATAGCGAAGAATGGTAGAACCTACTATGGTGATGCTATATTGCCAGAAGGTGTTTCTGATTCTAGTTTGGCTAAAAAAGCTTTTGTTATCAGTGGTGATGTTTTCAGTGATTATATTGTAACGAATGAAGTTCAAGAGATTGGTCAGCTTTTATCTCCGTTATCATTTTCAGATATTCAAACTGTTAGATTGTTGGGTATGAATTATAGGAAACATGCTATAGAGATCAATACTCCAATTCCCAAGTATCCTGTTTTGTTTTATAAGCCTAAAACTGCTATAACTGGACCATTTGATTCAGTCAAAGTACCAATTATTGCTCAAGAAGCACCGGGTAAAATTGATTATGAAGTTGAATTGGTTATTGTTATTGGCCGTGAAGGAAGAAATATTCCAATTGATAAAGCTTCAGAATATATATTGGGATATACTATTGGTAATGATGTTTCACAAAGAACATGGCAAATAGAAAAAGGTGGCTCACAGTTCTCAACTGGTAAGATGTTTGATACTTGGGCGCCAATTGGACCGGCTATTGTTTCTACCAATTTGATTCAATCTCCAAATGAGTTGGATCTTATATCTAAAGTAAATGGTGAATTAAGACAGAGCTCTAATACAAAAGATATGATTTTCAGTGTATTTGAATTAGTTTCATTTTTATCTCAAGGTACTACACTTAGACCTGGTGATTTAATTTTCACTGGAACTCCTCAAGGTGTAGGAATGGGATTTAAACCAGCAAAATGGTTAAAAGATGGTGATATCACTTCTTTTTATATTGAAAATATCGGAAGAATTGAAAATAAGTTTATTTTTGAAAATAAAGAAAGAGCAAAAATCTAATTTAAGAAAGCAAAAAAAAAACATTATAATATACAAAGAAAAATTATTTATTAAATTCCCACCTGTGTAATTAATTGATTAAATCAATCAGTACTTGCGCAACCTCTACAACCACAAGTAACGCACTGAATACTTTTAAGTTTTAATTTCTTCTTATCTTCTCCTTCCATGTCTTCTTCGCCAGTATTATTACTATTACTACCTCCATCATTTTGCTTACTGAGTACGGCTTTAGGAACTCTACATATACATGTTGACCCATGATTTTTTTCATTAGTTGCAATACATCCAAGACAACAAAGATTTTCATAACCTTGTTTTTTCCATTTAGCAATCAACTGTCCATCTGCATATTTATTTTTCAACAAATATTGGTATAACTCATCCGAAATAGCTTTTTTTTCATAATACAAATCATATATATAACGAGATCTTTGGTGATGTAATTGATAAATTGGCCATAATGATTCATTCTTCTTTGTCTGAAGACTTTTCTTACTATTACCACTAGAAGTTTGTAAATCTCTTAATTTATCCGCAAATTCTTTCAACGTTGGTTCTATCTCACTAAAACCCTTTGGAGGTTTTTTAGAACGAGATGTCCTCAATTTCGGCATCCTAACTATATCAACCCCATAAATATAAACTGATATTCATATGGAGTAGTAGTAGTAGTAGTTAAAATCTTACTATTTGCCTGCGTACAAAATTGAAAAATTTGAAAAATTTGAAAAAAAAATTTAAAAAAAAAAAAAATAAAAAAAAACGACACCAGCAGGATTTGAACCTGCGCGGGAAGATCCCAAAAGATACCTCTTAAAAGATTCGAGTCTTTCGCCTTAACCACTCGGCCATAGTGTCTGAAAGTATTTGTAGTATGTTAGCTAAAACGGATTAGTTTGTGGAAAAGGCCCGGTAATGTTAAAAGATAAGCAATTGAGAGATAAGTTAATAAGGGGGAAATGGGTATCAGCTACATGTTAGTTCAAGTCAAGTTTTGAGTTTTTCGGATTACCATATATAAATCTGATATAGTCCTCTACAAGTGATCATACCTATATTTGCTCTTTTTTTTTTTTTTTTTTTTTTGTTTGTTCGGTATTCTCGATAGTTAAAGACTGTAGACATTATATTGCAACCCAGTTTCCAGTAATACTTCTTCAGTCATCTCCCATGGAACATTGAAAATCCCAGAATTGATCTTAGGAATATTAATAACCAAATTTTCTTCATTAATATCATACTTTGTTAATAAATCTTGAACTTCTTCTAAATCACAATTTTTTTTACCTTGTAATTGCGTAACCATATCCAAAATTGCAAATTGAGTATATTGCAGAATTTCTGTAGGTGATTCTTGACCCAATAAACTCGTAAATAAACAAGCAATTAAATAATCTCCTTCATGGTTAAAATCTTTTGGATTGATTTTTATTAATAACGTTGAACCTAATAATTTTTGTGGATTAGAACTAAAACTCAGACAATGTGTTTGATATTGATTTAATGCAGATGGGAACCTCTTTGCAAATTGGTATGCAATACCTCCTCCCCATGAGCCATAACAATTACAAGAATGTGCTAAAATAACAGGGAAAGAAGATTGCGGCTTTGATAGAATCGAAAAAAGGTCTTCATTGATATAAGTTAAAGCTGATCTTTGTGCCATTTCTTTAAAATTTAATTAATTATTTTAGTTTTATTAATTATTTTTTTGGTTTCCTTCCATTTCGTTATATATTTTATATTATGCATAAATTTCACTTGCTTACAACCATCGTACATACTTACATACGCACACACAAAAAAAAAAAAAAAAAAAAAACACACAACTATATATGACCTAGGACCTAAGACCTAAACTATTGAACGTCTTCTTCACTATTATCCCGGACAAACACGTAGACGTAACCATTTTGTTCCATTTCTTTCAAATTCGCTTGATCTTGTAATACAACTTTTTCGTCGTTGAACAAAACCCATTTGTTTTCTCCGTTAATATTTTTAAGGATAAATGCAACGTAGTGACCAGAATGAATAGAAGTACCTTTATGACAAATAATTGCCTTTAATTTATAATTTTTACTTGATGGATTTGCTTTAGATTCTTTTATCATCTGTTCAATTATTTGGTCTTGACTAACTGATTGCCCTACTTCCTCTTCTTCTTCCTCTTCCTCATCGTCCGGTAAGTTACCATCATCCAGAGGATTTTCAAATAACCAAGCTACAGCTAGTTCGACATTATTATTATTCAAAATCAATGCTTTCTTCGAAATTTTTTCATGAAATCCCATAGATGATAACGTCTCTATATCTTCCTGTTTAACTTTGTTGTTACTACTTATCTTTGTGGAAATATTTGAGGATGAAGGTTCGACAAATGGTTCATCAATATCAGCATCATCCATATGAGCAAATAACCAGTTCATTGCATCTTCAGCACTATTATTTCCAGTATTATATAATGCTTTAATGCAACGGATTTCCGGAAATCCCATTGATTGCAATTGTGTCATTGCCTCTTGGTTTGGTTCAAACCTTGATTGAGACGTATTGTTATTTTCATCAATTTGTTTTTCATTATCCTCCAAGAGTACTTCATTTTCTATAAAATTTTGTTCTGAATCGTATTTACTCAAATCAATTGTATTATTTTTAGGTAACTTAATTGGAATATCTACCTTAACTGGAACCCAATTTTCTAATTTAATTCTCTGGGCATTTATTATTAAAACGTTTGGATACGTTTTGAAAAAATTATTTTTGGTAAATTTTTTAGAATTACATGAAGTACAATTCAATTCAACTTCTTCGCTTTCAAACCAATCATCAAACATTTCATTAAATGTTGTTGGATCAAATTTTTTCACTCCTTGATCATCAACAGTGATCGAATGATTCCTAAGGGGTAAAGATAAACAATCAGTCAATTCATTTGATTTCTTTATGCCATTACAATTTTTACATTTTAATTTATTCTCCAAGATAAATTGAAAAATTGAGTTTGGTTTTTCATGGTAATTTTTTTTAGTACGATATAATTGATCAATTTTTTGAAGTAAAAAAGTCCAAAATTCAAAAGCATCTTGTTGTCTCATGCTACTAAATTCTGGATGTTTATCACCTATTAAAGTCTTGAAGCTAGAAGGCTTAATTCCCTTTTGATATTTAACCGTATCAGTTGTGGAGTCATCAGGTACAGAATACTTACCACTGATTAAACCATTGGCTAACTTGATCAATTGAGTCATTAAATCTTTTGAAGGGTTATTTTTGTTAGGAAATTCCTTACCATAAAAAGCATTTTCAAAAGTTTTTAAAGAAAATAAAACTTGTAATACAGTAGCCATATAACAAGAATTTCCTAAATTCTTCAAACCTGTTAATTTTTCACCAAATATCGGTTTTAAGACTTCACCATTCTCACCATCCATATTAAAATCCCATTTCATATTTTGATCAATTTGTAATTCTGTTAAATTTTTTTCTGTTTTAACAACTTCATCAATGTTAATCTTATACGTTTTCAAATATTTTGCCAATTCTGGAACTTTTATCTCATCATTACATTCATAACAATAAACATCTGCAGAATCTGATGATAAAGACCCCAATTTAACTGCAATTGGATGATTTGCTGTCTGATAATGATTTAAAGCATGTGAATTTCCTGGAATACCACCAAATTGTTGCCTACCACATCCAATTGAACCACAATGTAAACATAACCATAAATTTTCTTTTAAATCACAAAATGAACATTGATGTAAATTTAAATTTTCATTCTTTAATTGTTTTATATCAAAAGCATGTCTACAAGGAACAATTTCTTGTTCCCAAGATTTTATTTCATCTTTTTTAGATGATGAAGTCAGTTTAATAACTGCTTCAATTGTTAAGAAAAGAGATGATGCCAATTCATTTGCATCAATTGGAAAAAATTGATCACATTTTATACAAAAAAGAGAATTTTTTAAATAAAATAATTCATCTTCAGTTTTTTCTTTAATTTCTAATTTAGCCATCTTTAATGGTTTTTCTTCTAATTCTGTTTCCAATTGAGGTCTTTGAATTTTTTGATAATTTAAAAAAATCCCATGAGAATCACCACGCTTATTAAAATGTAATTGATCATGTTCCTTATAACAAAAAGATTGGAAACATTTTAAACAAATATTAAGTCCATCTTTATTAAATGCAGTACTAAAACAGTACATACAATCATCTTTATATACATCTTGAGACGATGAAGGTGGTTGAATTAAAGGCGCAAATTCTGATATATGTGAACAAACCATTATATATCCTTCAATCTTCAATCTTCAATCTTCAATCTCTCTATATGACAAAAATTTTTTAAACCTTTTAAATACAAAAAATTATCTTTAATTACTATATATTATTGTATATCTTTTATTAGTGGCAATTTGTACTTTGATCTTTTCTACGTACAAAAAAAAATTGATTTTTTTAAGAAAAACAAAAAAAATGAAAAAAAAATTTGTAAAAAGAAAAAAAATATAAATTAAAATAAACGAAATTAATGAAACCAATGAAACCAATTTTCAAATAGAACAGAGAAATAATGGCAAGATGGTTTGTTATCAATTTGGAAGCTAGGGCGGTTGAGGTGAAGAATTGGATAATGAACACATGAGTGATAGAAACTCAATCACCTTCAAGTTTGATGATGGTTGAAATATGACTCCATTAGTTTTAAATTGTTAAGCGCCAACACCAATCATACCTTTTTTTTTATTTTATTTTTGACAATAATGTTATATTTCTTACAGTTTAAGTGTGAGCGCTATATATAAGAAAGATTTATTTGTCGCTTTACAATTACTTGGGCCATCCAGAGAAATATTGATGGTCAATATGTGAGAAGAAAGAAAAAAAGTTGTTTTTCCAATCTTTCTAATACACAAACAAAACTTGGTATCAACCAGCGGTTATGACAATGCATTAAATTAACAACACTGATAACACTGATACCAAGATTAATACCTTCAACTTCAAATTCACTAAAGCGCTCTAACATAAACCCATACTCTAGATTTTTGTTCTTTGTTATAAATTTTAATCTTTTTTAGTAGGTCGTGCTCTCAAAACACAAACCATCCAAATTAAGCGAAATCAGTTCCTGATTAGTTAAAGATTTAGACTTTAAAGAACAATTCAATTTGTTTTTTTTAGTGTTAAGTTTTAACTTTATATTATAAGACTGGAACTAATTTATTTAATCAAGATTATCTTTTGATGCTGATGTTCGATTGTTTATTTTCGATGTTCAATTGTTTTCAATATTCAATTGGCATGTTTTAATACAATGAAGAAATCAAACAAAATGAAAACTTTTGTTCAAAGGTACAGTGTGGCCATGAGGCCATGAGTCAAAGTGAGGGAAATTAGATATGACAAAGAAAAAAAAAGGGGGGGAGAGAGAGGAAAAAAGGGGAAGACTTTTTCTTTTTTTTGGATTTTTTCAATCCTTTGAATCTTTGCAATTTTTGGTAAAACAAGGGATATAAATAAACCTATCTACACCTTTAATAATACATTTTGGGAAATATAATAGTTTACTAACTTGATTTGTTTTGGGGGAACTTTTACATTTCCTTCCTTCCTTTTTTTTTTTTTTTTTTTTAAAATTTTTTTTTTTTTTAATTTTTTTTTAATTTTTGGTTTTTCTTTTTTCTTTTGCAGATCATGAATGATGGTAAGCTAAGTTCTGGTTCAATCGACTCTACTACTTCTACTATAGGCTCAAAATCAAATTTGTCTCAAATGAATCAACAACAACAACAACAACAACAACAGCAACAGCAGCAGCAGCAGCAACAACAACAACATCAACA